GCTATTGTTCACGAATGACAGACAAAAGATAAAAGGCCACAAAGGTCAAATGTAAACGCGAAGAATCTCTAACAAAACAGTGAATATTTGTGGAATATAGTCTTCTCTAGAAGAAGCATTTGAGTTTTACTGGAGCTTGTTCAGATGGACACAACACTTTACCAAAATCGACTAGAAGACACGAAAAAGTGGACAAATTTATATTTGATACCCCATGACTACCAGGTTTATTATGTAAACATTGATTTGCGTCATCAGTATGGAATTTCTGCCGCTGAGTCGCAGACGAAAACGTCCACAGCGGCGAAGAGCGAGGAGAAACGGATGTTTTCGCAGGCTTTTGTCTCTACTGTCCAGGGGCACCCAACGGCAATTTTCGGAAAATGTCTGTTCGGAAGACAATTTGAGATCTAGAATTTTTGGAACATTTGTTGTGAAATTTCTTGCCTGCCTGCATCTCCTAAGATTTTCGAACATCTACAAAATTGTATAATCACCCATTTTTAACGGATTTTTACCCTAAAATAGGCCACCTAGAATTTTCGGGAGCCTTTTCCTGGCTGAAATTTTCGAAAAGGTAAGTTTTGATCCCTATAATATTCGGATCACTAGACTTTCAGCTAGGAAATCCGAACAGATGAAAAGATTTTAGGGGATAAAAATATGCCTTTATCTACCGTTTAAATACTAAAATACGTTCAACAATGCTATGTTAAGTGGTTTTGAACTATATCCTCGTTGGATGCCCCTGACTGTCATCTGGGTGAAAAACTGTCGCTAAAAAAAGCGTTAAACAGTGACCAGGAGGTCTGTAATGCAGCCAGAATACAAAGGGAAACAAGAAGACGCTAGAGGTACATTTTACATTTTACTAATTTAGTGAGCAAAGAATATTTCTCATACAACGTCTAATAATTTTCTTGCTGTGTGAATAATTAATGAGCTTAGAAGGGTAGTGTTGTTCTCGGGTTCTTGCATCCAAAGAGGCCTGAAACGCAGTCGACACACAAATAAACAAAAGAAAATATTAAATGCAATCTGAAGGAAAAATTTAATGTACGGTTTCGTTATGGAGAGATAGGATAATTCTCACACAATGTCTTATAATTGTTGCCCTATGAATAATTAATTAGCTAAGTAGGATAATGCTGTTCAGGGCTCTCATAGTGAGCTTGGGCTACCTGTGGTCTAATACGGACGAGTAAATTCATATAAACCTAACCTCTTTATTACGGACACTGCGTTGATCAAGTGAATCCGGCATCCACATCAGGTGAATCTGAAACCTCGTTCCCAGGGCGCGTTCCCTGGCTTTGGAGGTGGGACGGGAAATAATTTTTTTACCACAGGTTTTAAACTTTCGAATACAGATCTTTACATGAGCCGGCTTTGATGAATATTCGAAGCACATAGCGACTCTCATGAGAATCAGCATATTGCCTGCAAACTGGATTTCTTGCAGAAATCTTTGGTGGAGTGGACATACCTTATTCTCCTTAATTTTCGCGGGTTCTTAAATTCGCGATTTTCGCGATTTTAAAAAATTCGCGAACTTAAAGACCCGCGAAAAATAACGACTGCGAACTTTAAACACGCGAAATTTAATGGACATAGCAAAATCATGTATTTGTGTTTTCAAGGGTCCTAAACAATTTTTAACACAAGGTGTTGGTACAAGGAGCTATCATCTATCAACTTTAGATGTTAATCAGTGTCAAGATTCGCCTCAAGTTCTTCTTCGGCATCTGAGTAATTATCTTCACACAGCTCCTCCAATACATCCTTTGTACAGTCGTCAAATTGACCATCCTGTCCCGGCTCCTTGTAGTGTGTTGTATCTTTCCATTATTGCCCTGTTCCTTGGTGTATCGTCCATTTCACATATCACCCCAACAGGAATTTCCAGACCTCCCTGAATCAATGGGGATCGACGATAGTTTTCATCAGTAACTTTAAGATGAACCATCCCACCTCTCAAAAAGAAAAAGCGGGTAGCTCTAGAAATCTCTCTGGGCAAATGGCCTATAATCGGGCGGGCCAGGCGACCACGGAGCCGTTTTTTAGCTGCGATTGCGTAACGATCGTAGATATTTTTTCGTTCGTGAGAACATCTCAAAAGCTCCCCGACGATGGGCTTCCAAATTTCTTTGTAAACATGGAATCCACGAAGGCCTGT